AAAATTCTTAGTTTTTTATGCTCTTTCGAATGAGGTATCACAAGATAGGGGTTGCCATTTGAAAAAAAAAAGTTGGGGGGGGGGGACCAAAATTTTGACCCCCCCCCCCCCAAAAGATGGTCCCCTTTGAGATAGGAACATTTCCAAAGTTTCATTTCCCTAGCTCAATTCGTTCAAAAGTTAGCAGGGGTGGGACGGACTTTTGTTACACCCTGTATAAAATATCTTACTCTGCAAAATAAAATCTTAAAGGTAACGCGTAAAACGCATAACGCTCGAGGGTGCATCAAACACATCGCCATGTTGCCATGTTGGATTGTTTAATTCTTATGTATCTCGGGTTCTTTGCCCGTTCATTGTATAATAAATAAATAAATAAATAAATAAATAAATGAATATCGAGGCGGGCTGTTCGAATAGCTATTCAAAAACCATATTTTTCTCGTCCCATTTGCTTTCATTGATCAGGGTTGAGAGGTTTTCATTCCTGTGCTCTAGATCTTTAGCCTGACTCGAAAAGCTGATTCTGCGCCATGGACCAAGAGGATAAATTCAATTAATTTATTTAAAAAATTCCTCTTGATACTCTCGGTCCATAACTGCGCGTCCACATAGTCAGCACATAGCGCCGTGCGCGGTAAGTGGCTCGACACGTCGCTCGCCGTCCTGACCGCATTGTGTGAACGTGCCTTTAAAAAGGTAAACATTAATATTTCTAGGTTATGTTGTCATTTCGTCCAGCAACGTGAAACGTGATTAGATAATATTAGATCGTCTTTTCTGTTTTTTGTAAAAATCTTGAAATTTGGGCTTTTGAAGCCTCACGACAATGGAGACTCAGCCAGCGAAAGAACCTCCGAAAACTTCGATGGTGTACATTTGTGGAGGTAATATTACTTTTCTGTACTTTATTAGTTGTAAGAGAATCCACTGTAGCCATCTGAGCAATGCTATTTCAATTTGATTACACAAAATCCAAGGGAATCTGCGCATTGAAGAAGTCTCCCAGATGACTGACCTTTAACTTGTGTTTACCTAATTCTGCGGCGATGTCAGTTTACTGAATTTAGTCTCCATGAGTTCTTGCGCTACTGTCTCTCAGGTACCTACGTCTTTGTTTCCCTCTGGTACAACGGAAGTTCGCAGGATGAAATCAGTTAGCTGCACCAGTAGCCCTTTTAGTTACTTGAAAGTCTGCCTTCAAGTTAATGAATCAATCGCCAAGTATAAATGAAATGCAACCCCTATTTTTTATTCATGCTGGGATACTGGGAATTTCAAACTTCTCGATCGTGTCAGATATTTTGAGATCGCACAAAGCGCTTACTGGTTTCAGTAGCCTAATAGATAAGTAGCGTTATACTAATGGACTGTTGATATAATATGTAAAGCTTCGAGGGCCTGGGGGACAGGGAGCCTAAAGCCTTTTTGTTCTCATGAGTTGTAGGATGAGAACGTACAGACAAGGATTATGAGAGGGGGTCCAAAAATCAGAAAGTTAGTGTTACGTCTTAATGAATGCCTTATATAAATTCTGGTCCTATTTATATGTATATAGGGCACCAACAGAAGTTTTGAATTGGTCTCAATGCACTGTGATCAATTAGAGGAGCATTTTATTTAAACTCATGACTAAAGTATCTTATTTTTAAAATGATATTACTTTTAAAACATCTGCAACCAGAAAGATACCTCCTTTAAACCTGAAAAATCATTATGCCTACTTTCAGCTTGGATTTTTTCGATATTTTTTCTATTGAAATGGCACAAATGTTGAACAGTGCAATTTCATTGCTGCTAGGTGTAAGGTATGACACCTATAGTTGGATGAGAGGAAATTAAAAGCTTCTGTGTACAAATTTCTTTTAACTTTAAAGGATTATTTGTCACTCTAGTCACATTTTTTTGTAAATAAGCAGTAAAATCTGCTGATCTCTATGATACGGGTTAAGTGAGATCATTTCTCTCAATTGCATACTATTTACATATAAATTATGTAAAGGAAAATTTATTTTATCTCTCGTTTAAATTCAAAATTATTGATTGTTTCCCATCTCTTTAGTTGAGTCATGCCCTCCTAATATTTTTTATAATTTTTTTTCTTTCTTTGCAGAATGCCATCATGAGAATGAAATTAGACCAAGAGATCCGATCAGATGCAGAGAATGCGGATACCGTATTATGTATAAGAAGAGGACGAAGAGACGTATCCTTTTTATTATCATGACTGATGACCCATGTTGTTTTTTTTTTATATTATGTTTAGTGACCAAAAGTGTCAGAAAAAGTACTTTATAATGGGCCTGTTGCAAACTTGTGCTTGAGCAAAAATTAGAGTTGTTACTCATAGAAAGTGTCTCAAAAATCACAATGAGTGCATTGGCAAAGTCTCTAAGATACCAACCTCTGCGATCATATAAAGCAGCTTTTGTGGATTTTCACGATTACTCTTGTTTTTTGCGGTTTTTGATGATTATGCTTGTTTTTTGGATTTATTGCAGATATCATTATAGTGCCAAAAAGTTGAATATTGGCATTACTTTGAAACCTACCCAAAGATTTTTTCTTTTTTTTAAAAAAAAACCGCACTTTGAGATTGCATCCTCTGATTTTGTGAAAAATAACTTTTTTCATGTATGCGTTTCCTGCTGATTCGGTCATACTTTTTAAGCATGGTAGATATTGGCTAGAACTCTCAGTTGTAGAGTCTCAACTAGACGTATTTCTATCAAACAGAACTATGTGCAAGTGGAATAGATGGTGTGTGCTCGTTAGTGCTCAGGCCATAAGAATGAATGGGAAATATAAAGCGCCAGTGATGGAGCCGCCGCGCGCTCCCTCGTTAACTCATAAGCCCTGTCTTGAACGCTCTACATACATGCCCACAGCTCATGCACTGTGCACATAGTTCCGTTTGACAGAACTTGAAATCTCGCTTCTCCAATTCAGCAAATGGAACTGTGAGCCAACTAAGTGCGGGACTCAAGAGCCTTCTGCACGTGTCTAGAGCGTTGTGGCAAGGGCTCATGAGTCAACGAGGGAGCGGGGCAGCGGCTCCATCACTGGCGCTGTATATTTCCTGTTCATTCTTGTGGTGCAAGCCCTAATGAGCACTCCCGATCTTCTTCACCTGCACATAGTTCTGTTTGATAGAAATATGTCCAACTTACACATAGCAGTGCTTTAAAGCTGGCGCATTAGTTCTTGGATAAAAATAGATTTTGTGCTCCTTCCATGCCTATAGAAACGCTAGTAACAGCAGTTGATATGTCAGTGATTTGATGATAAAAAGGTGTATCAGCGTTATAGTCAATCTCCATACAATGGATTCAGGCACTCAATTGTATTTGATCTAATTTTTCTCTCATTTTCCTTAATTCAATTGCTTACAGTTGTGGTTTTTGATGCACGCTGAAATCGACTTGAAAGAGGATGCCTCAAACTGAAGAATTTTTCTCAGGATACCTATGCAGTGGAAAAGAAGTTGTGAATATTGTACAGATTTGTCGAGATAAGTTAATATATCAGATTTGTTCAAATTAGATTAGATCAGTCATTGATCATTTTAATTAAATCTATTGGATTTTTTAAATAAATTTCTTTAATTTGTCAGTATTTTTCACCAAATTAATGAATGAATCCTAAAAATGAGTCTATGGTATGATGCACACCATTTTAATGTTTGTTTGCACAGATTCTTTCGATAATGATACCTACCTGTCTCAGCAATGAGTAAAATTTTCTTTTATTCAGTACTGTCAAGTCAAGAAGTGCCAATTTTTCAGCCCTAACAGGCTTCATCCTTTTATTGGACCATTTTGGGTGAAATGAACATTCAATCAGAGCAAATGACTAACGATTGACTTTTAGAGTCTCCTTATTTCACGAATTAAAAATTCAAATTGTGTAAATAACTGATAAAATGACCCGTGTAAACGTTTTTCAACTTATGAACTTTTTTTTCAAAATATACAGTTTTAACTAACATTTGATTTGTGCTTTTCAAGATCATATTCTTCTGTGTAGATTTATAAGCCAGTCTTGAAAGACTAATCCTCCTCCAATTGCAATATTTCAAAACTTCTTGCAATTTTTGGTTTGTTTTTTTACAAACAAGAGATGAAGAAACAAGAAAGTGTCGCCCATTTCTTAAAATTGGAGTGATTTTTGTCTACCCCTCGAGAATGTTATTCTCAAGAACTTTTAATCAGTGATTTTGCAAGAGCTTTTAATAAAGAAGTTTAGTGTAATAGGCGTTCCTAAAACAATCTATTGCAGCTGGATTACTTCTACTCATTTATTTCAAATTCAAAGAGGAAAACATGAACCATAGCTGACAATATTCCAATTCATTATTTTTATTTCTTTTATTTTTTTAGAAATGCAGTCATAGCTTTAGATATGTGAATGGGGGGGGGGGGTGTAAGTAACCAATATTTTAGTCAAAATATGGTTTTTTTCACACTTCTTCCTTCTCTTCTTTTTCCGCCTATAGTTATCTGGCAAAAATAGGAGATGGAGGAATAGACTCTCTCCCTCAAACCAACCAATGAGGGTCTGAAATCTGACTTGGTATTGGGCAGCATTTTTTATGTTGAGGAATATTCTTTTTTTTTTTTTTCCATTTGTGTGATCATTCATGAATTCCTGCCAATACCCTCAACAATGCAGCTTTGATTAATTTTAAGCACCTTTATTGTCAACAGTAATAGATTATTTTTCTCTTGATAAATCTCCCACATTCTGCTCTCATGGTTACTTACACTATCATTCACTAGGGAAATGAAGCATAGTTGCCAAAATGAAGGAAAACAGGTGAAAAATTAGAATGAGTAATTTGGTCTCTCGCTAACCTTATCTGGTTCACCCACTTCAATTTAGAGTGGTCACTTACTTCTGATTCTCATCTGAATTCCTGCTTTTCACTGTATGTGCTTCTTTATCTATTAATTTACCTTCATGATAACCAACTCATCTTGAAAACTTGAAATTGGTTCCTTCATCAGTGTCCCACGTTTTGATGTTTGTGGATTCTTTTCGGTCTGCTATTTTTTTTTAATTTTGTGAAAAGTTGATTTTCATGCGGTTCTATTGATGGCCTCCGACTTAGATGCGTTTGATGAGATAAAATTGTGGCTCAACTCTCTACCAGATACTGAATTATCAGGTAAATGATTTTTTCAACAAAGCATGATACCAAATAAAAAAAAGGAAGGAAATATTTTGATGAGGACAAGAATACAGATTCGAACAATGAATATATCAATGGTGAAACTGTATATCCAATTGCAATTTTGAAGAATTTCTGCTCATATTTTATTTTATCTTGAGAATGCTGCTCAGTCTTCACAAACTGCTGGAATCCACTTCTCTTGCTTTGAGTATTTTTGTGTTACTAATATCTGTCAAGAGTCATTGAAATCGTGTCAGTGGTGGACCTTTTTTGGGATTTAGGTAACCCTAGATTGATCTCTGCACCACTGTCATGGTTGTATAATTAACCTTGAAAAGTAGATATCATCAACCCCAAAAAACTCAAAACTTAAAAAAATTGGACATTTCTCTGTTTCTGGTTTTTCCTACCGCTGAAACAAAGTGACTTTAACGAAAAGGCCCTTAACATTTGACCTTTTCTCATGGATACTGGGATGAATCATTAAAGGCACCAAATTACTGATACCATGCTGTTCAAAAAGCTGTAAAAAAATGTAAAACCATAGAATAAGACTCATTTGAAGTCATAAAATGGAATTTCAAAATTGAAGCATTTGTTGAAAATTACCCACCGGACGTTTCATAGAAAAATAAAAAATATTGAAACGTTCTTGCATAGTTTTTACTGTGGCTGGCTCAAAAAAATTCCAAAATTTAGCTCTATAATTTTACGTTTCAGATGAAGAAATCAAGGTTTTTCTGCACAGCTGCTATGGAAATTGTACTGACACAAAAAGATGTATCGAAGTTTATCATTCTTCAAGGAGAGAGCTGCCTGAAGTTTTTGCAAATAGAGATCCAAGAGACCCTTCCATCCAACAATTTTTTAAATGTTTGTAAGTATGATGTAACAAGCCGCACACTCACTTATGTTATACCTCTCCTCTTGGCAAGTGATGGTTCAAGTAAATATTATCATGTAAAGGGTATGAACCGAGAGGCATCAGGGGGAATGGCAGTTATTCAAACTACATACTTAATTCAATTAACTCTGTTACCTTGGCACAAGGAAATCCTTGTGCTTAAGCTTTTTCTAAAGTGTTTTGCCTTCTAGAAGTGTTCGCTTGCTCGTCAAATTTTTGTGTCACCAGTTTTTTTAAATGAAAGCTGGCCCTTGAAGAGCAGTGAACTAGACCATCTAGCATTTAAGATCTATTAAGACAAAATAAATTGAGTATTTGTCTTTTTTCAGTCAGATTATACTGTCCAAAGAGAGAACTGATGAAAATTTTGCTGTGATCCTGATTCGAGCAACCAATCCGTCAGTAGAATACTTTGATATTGCAAGTTTGTTCAAAGCATATTTCATGACCGTAGACACTCTGATTTTGGAGGATCCTTACTGTGAAGGATTAATATTGGTTTTTGATGTGGCTGGTAGCTCCGTATCACACTTGAGGAAGTTGAATTTTGGTGTCCTGCGGAAGTGTATCAAGTATTTAGAGGTACTTATTTTTATTATTTTTATTTCTGTTCTATTCATTCCAACTCGATGGGCCTTGTTCAATTTTTCGCATGAAAGTTTTTTCCAACTAGGTATCGTGGCTAAAGTTCTTTAGTTCTATTTTAATTTTATTTGTTTCAAGACCTCTCAACATTGTTCCAAGTTTTTCTTTAAAACTTTTACACGTACCTACTTTCATGAAAGTTTTAAGGATTAATCTTCATGTCAAAAGTAATATTTGGTAAAATTTTCAAAAAATGTTGGTTTTTCTTGTAAAAAATTGGACAAATTTGAGAAATACAGCACCTAGGTGCCTCAGTACAAATTGCACTCATGATACATAGTGTGACAAAGTGTCAAGTTTTACCTACCTATGAATCTGTTATTATACATGGGTGAGTAATTACCCATCATATTAAACTGTTTTTCAATTCTCATAATTTGTTTTCCCCCCTGTTCATGGACTCTTGCATAAACTTTGTTTTTCTGTTTCTTCTATGAAATCTTTCGATGATCAGGAAGGAATGCCCATTCGAACCAAAGGATTACATGTTGTCAATTTAACATTTGTAATGGTCAAAATAATTCAACTAGTCAAGACATTTTTAAAATCAAATAGAGATGACATGGTAAGTGCCATTTAAAATTTTACGTTTCCAGCTTTGACCTCAGAGATTGAGAAGTTAGTTAAGTCATTTTTTTTCTTATTTCAGCCAAGTCAGAGAAAATTAATCGAGGCACACAATTTGAAAAATTAGGTAATTCATTATTGCTTGCTTAGGGATGCTCTTCTTCGAATTCAAGTCATCAAAAAAAAATCGAAGATCCAGAAGTAGGTAATAGTCTGGAAGTAGATTTGACGTGATGATCTAGTTTTTAACTTCGAGTGTTTTACCATTTTTTTATTCCTTTGCATCAAAAATAGTCTTGACCAAGCTTTTAGCTATCATTTCCTTTTAATATTGAATTGATTCACGATACATAGCATTTTTGTCGTCTTGATTTTGAATAAAAAATTGGATATGCTTCCCATTAATTTTGGACATTAAAAAGCCATAGAAATTAATTTGTTTTAACATAAGGTTCAGTTTTGGTTCAGTGCAGTCATCAGCCATGTACACAGTGTTTAAAAACTCAAAAGTTCTAAGTTTAAGTCTACAAAGCCTCAAATTTAACAAGGTGTAATTCAGGAATCTTGCAGGGTTGCACTTTCCTCAGATTGAACTAATCTCTTCAAATGAAAGCAGTTTAAAGATGAATTTCTTTAAAAGACGGCACACACCAAAACAAAAGTAGGTACTGATTTATCATGATTTTATCTGAGTCCTTTATAGCTGCACTCATACCTACCTCAAGCGTTTCTGAATGAGGAGTTGTCAAAACAGAATGACAATTGGAGTAAAGACACTACAGCTGTGCTGAATTGTGGCAAGGAATTCATAAATAAATAATCAAAAAAATATTCAAATCCAGTCAAAGAAAGTCGCAGGTAGCAAATATTTTACTTTTTAATTGATGGATAGTGTATCAAACTTGGAGTCAATAATATTTTTTTTTTTCCATCAGACTTTCTTTCATTCTTCCTCAAAACTGGAAACTCTTTACTCAGCTGTGCCCCAGAGGTGTCTCCCTGGAGAATATGGTGGAACTTTGGGTTCTTCGGAAGATCTGAATAGTGAGTTGTTATTTTAACGTTCCTCTATCTCAAAATGGAAATTTGATGCCCAAGTTTTTCTCACTAGTAGGTATTATCAAACATGGTGGTGGTGGTTCCAGGTATGTGGCATGTCATTCTGGCTTTTAACCCTACAGCCATCAAATCACCTCAAGTTTTGAAAAAAAGGAAAGAAAACAACAACAGCTGAAATTATTACTCCTCTGACAAAGAAGTTGTTGTTTCAGTAGCATTAATAGTTGTTGAGAACAAACAAAATAAGTCTCTTACCTATTGAGAAAAATAAATTTTAAAATTGGATATTTTTCGAGGTGTGAACAAAGAAATTAAATTTATCAGCAACTGGTAGGTTGTATGAACTTTCACAGTGTGCTTGAGTTTGTGGTATTGTTTTAACCCTAGTCTGCCTGAGTGGGGTCAGATTGACCCCACGGGAGTTTCAACTCTTTGCCATTTCTCGTGGTATGCACGAAACTTTTTGTCCTTCACAAATAGCTCTACAAAAACATCTAGGAACACGATTTTGAAGGGGGGGGGGAAGAAAAAATGTGCATGAGAGATCAAAAAATTCACGAGTACGCCTAGAAAGCCTGAGCGGGGTCAGATATCCTTATAACATATATTTTACCATTTAGCATCACAAAAGCTTACTTTGAAGGTGTATTCATTACTTTTTAATTTCTCTTTTAATCTCTTTTTTCATCTCTTTTTAATTTTTTTCAGAAACTTATAAAACAAGCAAAATTTTTCAGATTTTTTTCGTTTTTAGTATTTAGTAGCCCTATGATTTTTTTTCTCATGCTGAGAGCAACATGGCAACATGTGTATGATAAAATGGTTGCATACCCTGCGCCGTGTTTTCTTCAAAATTAGATATGCTTTATGGTTAAGGCCTGTAAGGTTAGTGCACTGATATTAACTAAAAACATGAAAAAAACATAGCTAACTAATTGATTTTCAGCTGGGGTCAAATTGACCCTGCTCAGGCTTTCTCGTTGGTTCAGAGGCTCAGGCAGACTAGGGTTAAAAGATTCAGGAACTATTAGTCTTGTTGTTAAATCATTAAGAGAGATGGAAATAATGGTAAATATTTATAATTATGGTCTATGTTTCAGATAAAAATATAGAGCGGTTAATTGAATATCGAGAACACCTTCTGGAAGGTAAAATGAGACTTCCAGCCATTGCCAAAAGGGACAATCGTCAAGGAAAATCAAGTTGCGAGGACCAAGCGTCATTAGAACAATTATGCATTGAATAAACTGTCCAATCATGTGTCAAGTGTTTGCTCTTACTTGGAAACTAAAGTAACGGCTGAATAGCATCTGTCTTGCATTAAGGTGATTCGATGGACGCCATAATTTGTGTCAGAACGGCATGCGATATATCGCAAAAATTGGTTCCATTTTTTCAGCTACTCGTCGTTTTTCTCTAATTTTGAGATGGCAATTCTGTTGTCAGGAGACTAAAGCAATCACTTAACAATTTTAACAAAGAAATTCAACGTAATAAAGGCGTGGTTTTTTCAGAGAGAAAACATCGCATTCGATACCGATATCGAAACTGCACTCGCATGCGATATTTTCTCTCTGAAAAAACCTTGCCTTTATTACGTTGAATTTCTTTGTTAAAATTGGTAAGTGAGTGCTTTAATCTCCTGACAACAGAATTGCGATCTCAAAATTGGAGAAAAATGACAAGTAGCTGAAAAAATGGAACCAATTTATGCGATATATCACATGCCGTTCTGACACAAAATATGGCGTCCATCGAATGACCTTGACCAGGTTTCTAAAATTTAATGGAGGCACAGCTTTTTATAGCTGATGAATATCTATACTTGATGGACCATTTCATTGACACTTGAGTTTAATTATTAACTGGATTTGCCAGAGCACAACAGCCATTGAAAGAATCTTCAGACATTCAATCGATCTTTCTCAAAATAACTTAAGCGTCATAAATGAAAATACGAGAAAAACTGTGACAACTGTTTTAATGAACCTGTCCTAACTCTCGGAGCTCTAAAATATTTAAGCGATGAAATAATTAATCACATTATTGATTGATCTAAGATTTGGAACGGGTCGATTAATGCAGTTTCTATGATTTCCCCCGTATTTTTACTTCTGGCGCTAAAGTCTTTCCTATCTAGTTTCTACGATAGGACTGAAGTAATTGGATAATCAGTTTTCTGGAAAGCAAAGTTGAATTATCGTCTCTTGCCTGGGATTGAATTAATATACTTTGAGTATGGAGCGAGAGTTATAGAATTGGGTTCAAGGTTTCTCATCTCAATGGTAGAATCTTTCATTGATCGAAGTCTCAATTCAACCTGAATATGAATGTCAGATCATTAAAATGTATGAGAATATCAATGTGCATGGGTATGGAGCAGCAAAAATATAGGAACAGGTTATTCGAATTACTAATTGATTTATTATGTACACTTATTTACATCTTCTTTTTAACAGTCTTCAATATACTATTATTTACATAAAAAAACAATATGCAACATCAGTCACTGAAATGTACAACAACAATTAAACACATAATTAAACAACAGTCTTCACTTCTTCTCTTACATTCTTTCATTGAATTCCTTGAGGTGTGTGAAAATAAAGTGAGAGCAGAAAAATTTATCAGAAAGATGCAACTGTCTCCATCTAGGAGGATAATGTACAAGTTGAATGAATTAGTTCATGCAAAAATGTCCTAAGTTCTCTTTTTTTAATTTTGAGGAAAAAGTAAAAAACCAGGAAAGGCTTCAAATTACAGAGTGACCAGATTTTCAAGCACGTAGAGTGCCACTCACAGTCTTTTCCTAGGTGACCCTTGTGCAAGGTAGAAATACAGCAATTATTCAGTGGCTACACATCAGGATACGTATGATGGTTTCAACCAAAACATAGGGTTAACACTCAGCTCTTTGGTGTAGGTGCTTGCCTGTAATGATTTTATTCCGCTTTTGAAAAGTTGCTGATATGAAATGAGCTGATCAGAGTTTTATCTTCGGGCATACATTTATGTATCTTTTGTCCAAAAAAAATTATTTTTTTGTTAGCAATGAATTACTTATTGTAGATAACAATAAAGAAGAGGATGAAAAAGTTACTTTCATTTTTATTAAAACTTGCAGGAGTGCATTTCCAGCATTCATATTTATGAAATGGAAAAACCTATTTATGAAATGGAAAAACCTAGTCATTTAAGATGGATCTTTTAATTGGAAAGTACTTGATTTTGGACATTAGCAATAGGTTAATTGTGTTCCTTATGAAATTTGGATGAAGAAACTTTCCCTGGGGTGCCATACTTTGTATTATATCTGACACCCTTTCTCATAAACCTTTCTCAACATTGATGAAAATCATAGAAATCAATAAATGGACACATTTTGGTGTGCATGGGTCAAGAAATCAAAGAATAAATAGTCTACTTGTATTTACATGGATTCACATTGTCAGATAAGAACGTATCATTACATACGTAATAAACCGTATCAGTACATTTTAACTACACATTATGACACTTATAAACATTAATGGCTCCATTAGAGCTAGCACTGAACTACCAACACTAAATAAATTCACATGTACAAGAATAACAAAGAAGTAACGTCGCAAATGTTTCATTTGTGCAGGAGGACTCATTCATTAGAAAAAATGAACTTGCAACTATACCTGTGATTAACAACCACTAATTAAATTGTGTATCCTCCTACATTAGAACTCTCCCCAAGATAGATTTTCGAGGAGATTTCATTGAACTACATAGTTGATTTTATGCCCATTAAATAGAGTAAAAATATTTTGCTGCCGCGGGACCTTTGAATTTTAGAAAAATTACAGCCGAAGGTGTAAGTAATTTTCTGTTTTCTTCTTCCTTAGGCTATTTGTAAACTTGTGATAAAATTGACCACTAGAAGCAGTACTGAGTTAAAAACCACTAGAATGTAGGTTTTCTTACCGAAATTTTACTCATAATACGATGGACGCACTGAAACTTTTTGAATTGAATTCATAACACACAAAATAACAGTTTTCGTCTTTGTTGATTCACGTTTCATACTGATATACTTTGATATGTTCAACATATTTTGGGTAAAACTCTGATAAGAACACATGTGCGGTAGTGCTTACTTACTTACACTGTCCAGTGGTCCATTATGAATGGCTTTTCTGTACAGATTAATATACTATTGGTCAAAATGTTCAAAGGCGGCGATGAAATTTATGAAAAAGTATAAAAAGAAGAAAAGTTTAGACATACGTTTTGATATGAACAAAGATAAAGCAAGCGTGACAGCCAGATGTACGATCGTTATCTATAAAAGTAAAGTTGAAAATATTATGTACTCAGAGGAAAATGGTTCTTACTTATATTGTTGAGTTAAATACTTTGAAAACAGTAAATTTAGGGCGTTTCTTGTCGGTAAGTACACAGCAGATTGAGGTAATACTAATACACAGCCACCTCATCTAAAAGTTAGCTCAGTAAAGTTTGACTGATATGTGCTTCTTATCTGCTCCGTGAAACATGCTCCAACAATACACTTAGGAATGGGGAAAACTAGGAAATGCTGATTTAAACTACATAATAACTTCAAAGATTCATTACTTGTGCCAAGATACCACAAAAAAATACACAGAGAAAAAGAGTACAGAGATTTTTCAATGACACAATATTAATTATTATTATTATTGATCTCTGTTTAAAAAATTCCATTTAGATTGAACAGGAACCAGATAAGAAAATGAGCGTAGCGAGAAAATAAATTTTAGGGGTAAAAAGAGCAAAAAGTTAGAAGCTTTATCTGTTGGAATTGTAAAAGTAATAGGTTCTTTCAGTTTTAGTTTTTGTCAAATAATGAAAAATTATAAATTATTCTTTAAGCTCTTGCTGCTTAATCTTCAATGGGCCTGTTGCAAACTTTTGCTAGAGCAAAAATAAGAGTTGTTTCTTATAGATAATGCCTCAAAAATCACGATGAGCGCATCGGCAAAGTCTGAAATGCACTCATAACTTCACAATCTGCGTAAGAAATTTGCGTTTTTTTAAGCTTCCCGCTTCAAAAACGATACTACGGCACAGGTGAACATTTTGTTAGAGGAGTCGCTCCATCGTCGGCGATATTCATCATGGCCGACGCTTGCGCGCAGTTCCGCGCGTGATTCAAGGAGAGTTCAAGGTCAATCAATTCGGGCGTGGAAAACATGAACGTTAAAACACGCCGATTGTTATCTGGTCTAATCCAGTTCAGGTATTATCTCGTCCCATCACACGTGTTTTGGCGGATTGGCGTCGGCCATGATGAGTATTGCCGACGATGGAACGACTCCTTTTACAAAATGTTCACCTGTGCCGTAGTATCGCTTTTGAAGCGGGAAGCTCAAAAAACCGCAAATTTCTTACGCAGACTGTGAAGTTATGAGTGCATTTCAGACTTTGCCGATGCGCTCATCGTGATTTTTGAGGCATTATCTATAAGAAACAACTCTTATTTTTGCTCTAGCAAAAGTTTGCAACAGGCCCATTAACAAAGATTCTGGTTTGCGATTTGATTAATTGTTACATCAATGATTGAAGCATTTGACCAAAGGGGCTTGAGGTTTGAAATTGAAAGAGAAAAGTTTGTAACAGTTGAGCTCCAACTTGTTACCTTGGAAGACTTTCCAACATTTCTTAGCATTCTTAACACTGGGTAAGCAAGACAAAGTTCACGACGTTTTTGAACATTGGGTGGCTAAGATGATCCAAGCAAAGAATTTCTTTTTTTTTCGTAAAAAAATCAGCTGCTTCCTTATGAGAATGTAACAAACCAACCTACAAAGCATCATTTCAATGGAATGACTTGAAACATATTCTTTCCCTTGAACACGAACTATTCTTCATCTTCAACATAAAATATATTTATCCCTAACCAGTAGCTGGCAGCTGTTACATTTGATACATTTATTTAACTATGCTATTGTGATACCTTGCAATAAAACTGTTCAAATAACTTCTCGATGACATTTCAAAAACGAACTTCAAATTTCTCGACTTCAACTTGCCTGTTGTAAGAGAAACTTTCTTATACAGTTTGTCGTAGGGGCTACAATGAATAACAAAGGAAGCTATTACATTGGCGTGGAGCAAAACAAATTCAATTTACGTAATTCAAAAAAGTGACTAGATAAAATTACCAGGGGAAAAATATAAAATAACCGACTAATGTTACAACCGAGAAAATATTAGTAAACAATTCGTTGCTTGAAAAACAAAAAGTTGACAAGTGAGAGTAAAATTAGTCAGACTGGGCTGCTGTTTTCTAGTTCTAACAAGGTTTTTATAATTTCTTCAGAATCAAACATGATTTAATTGGATTTTGCTCAAATAAACAAGCCCAATCGAGTTAGTTTTCTCCTGTCACCTCCAGGCTAGGATGAAAATATTGATAAAATAGACAGAGATCACCAGAAACGCATAAGGTAGTAGTTAGAAAAATAAATGAGATAGGTGCTCGTAAATTTTCTTCCGTCAAAAATTCAAAAGTTTAAAAAAACATTTTGAGCAAGAAAAGAGTTTTTAAACTTAGGGTTGAAAGTCTCATGGCGGAATAAAATTTAAAATCTCTTTTTTTTCTTTCAAGATGCAACTTAGTGTGCTTCTAAGAACTTAATCCTGATTCTTGTAAATACATACATTTAAGAATTGAGGTGCCGAAAATGGAGGACACAATAATTGGAATAAAAATAATGATGACAGCACAAACTTATTAAAAAAACACATCATCCAGAAAAAAAAAAAAAAAAAAAACGCTACTGAAGATGAAATTGCAGGGCTCTGCGCCAATTCTTGCTGTAAAACAAAAGAACTACTTGTTGCTCTTCGATTTTTTGTTACTTTTTGATACATTTTCTATTAATTTTATTTGTTCCTCTTTAGTTTTGCTTTTTTGAGGAAAAAGCAATCTTACTCTGTGTTGGTGGTTCCTTCACGAGAGAGCCATTAATTGAAGAAGGATGAACAAAAAACGACAACAACAAGGGCACCTCATTTTATAGCAAGAATTCATCGAAAACTTCTGGTTGGACACAATTTTCATTTTGGTTTGATGGTATGTTTCACTGGAAAACTGTACCATACGTTAAAATTGAAAAATTTAGGACTGCAAAGGGAGATTAGGTCTTCAAAACTCACTTTAACATCAAAGAACGGAGGAAAAGGTGGAGAGGACTTCTTTACTCAGCAGCCATAAAAAATATTAACTTTCAGTTTGGAAATTGAAATGAAAGTGTCAGTGGCACTAACATGAGACTAAATAAACTGCTTGTAACAGAACGGAACCAAGAAGATTGCAATGATGTTGAAGTTAATCAACTTGTTTTGTCCTGCTAGGAGAACTAAAGAATGTTTAAAGGTTCTATTTGCAAACCCAAAAAATGTTAATTAAATGAGAAAATTACCCTGTAAATTTCATTTTTTGGTTTGCATTTTATTATTATCATACTGTAAAAAGAAGTTGGCACGATCTCACTAAAATTACAATGTTCTTGGTTCCTTTTAGAAAAAGTAGACAGAAATTAGATAAAAAATAAATTTTGGATAAAAAAAGGGGCTAACTAGGAATCTACATTCAGCACTTAAAAAGTGGGGAATATGCCAGATAAAGTCACAATTAGAAACATTAAAGTTTAACACAATAGATATGTAGTTTTGTCAACTTTGTGGTTATTCAGGGGTAAGATTAAAAAAAAAAAAAAGGGAGAGCGTTAAAAAAGATAAGAATTTCAGTTATCGGGTATTAAAATCTAGAAGAGAGGAGATACAAAAAATACAATCGAGAAGCTCTGGAGAGGAGGGCTGAAAAACTAAGCCTATCTACAATTTGATCACATTTATGATTAAACTTCCTAACAGTTTACAGATACATGACAGTGTTCCACTTTAGTTCAATTGATACAAAAATATATAACTAAGTTTGACTAAAAATTTTAGGAGCAGCCTCTGACAACAGCATAATTTGTAACAGGGCAGCTTGCTGTCTACTTGCTGTCAGCTTGCATCTTAGATGTCTACTTTGCTTATTTTCTTTCAATAATTAAGGTATTCATATGTACAGCTACATTTTGCATCCACAATGTGTGTGTATAGCAGTCAGAATTTTGAGCTAGCTATTAAATAATTCTACTTTCAATTTTTTGAAAGTATTGAGAAAAAAAATTGGAGGGTCGCAAAGTGATAAAAAAGGAGAGATCAATAATTATTTCAACCTATTACAGTGATGTTTCCTGTTCTCAAAGGCAAAAATACTTTTGAATTTATAGCGATCAACGAACATTCCTGCTTCAAGAGTTTTCACATTTGCAATCTGAGAGCGGTAAGCCTAATAGAGTCGAGCGTATAATTTTGAACAATTATACCGCTGCTGTATCCTTAACAAGATAGGCACTTCTCTCATCAGGTAACTCAACTTTCTCCCAGATAGATAGAAAAAATAGCTGGTGTAAATTTTTCAAAAATTGAGACTTTTCTTCATTTTAAGGAATGAAAAATGAAACCTTAAGCTATTATTCTCCTTAATTACTGGAGATAAAGAGTTTCATGAGAGGAAACATCATTCCAAGAATTGAAAGTTAAGGATTTGAGTATTGAGCAAACTGAAAGGCGGAGTAATTCAAACTTTCTCAGACTATCACGAGCATTGAATTACAAAAAGGGAATCATAGTTTTGAACAACATAAGAAAATGATCCAATTTTGAGTTCTTTTCAAACGAATTGAACTTGTTCCAGAATAAAAGTAATATTCACTTCTGCAAACGCTGAAGTGATCTGACATGAAATGACAAGTCCCTTCAAATTGAATGCTTAGACAGTTTGATTTTCAGTCCTTGGACTAACAAGACTTGCAACAGGTAATGCCAGGCAACTTGAGTATCATTGAACGAGCAGTTTTTATATCTGTGCAAACAGTAAGTGGGAGTGCTCTGACCTTAATGCCATTATATACAAGAAGAAAAGAGTTTTCCGATTATTCTTGAGAAATCAGAGTTAGACACTTATTTCAGTTAATTGTGTAGTTGGATTAGCTGCAGCAGTCCAAGGCAGACTGACTTTAAGGACTCCCACTGCATATATACACTCTATTGAATTATGACAAGAATATACGGCCAAACATGCATAAGCCTGAAAATTCTTGGAATCAAAGTCAAGTCTTGGAGGAAGTCAAAAAGGCAAAATTTTTCAAGGAAAGACAACATACAAAACTTCAATGGTATTTCTAGGCGTACAGAGCTCTCTCTGAGCCGTATAGCATAATGTTACAAATTTTTATGATGCTTTTCAGAGAAACGTACATTCTTATTTTGACTCATGACTTCTGCTCTTTTCTTGTATAAAAAGGACTGATTCCTCATGTGATGTACCTCTGGAGTGTCCTGCACTTCAATAACCTTTTTTTCCCCATGTCGGGATAATTTTCCATTTATATTTTGCAAAATTAAAACCATGAGCCTTTGTCTTTTTTAAAAGAGGTTAGCTAATATATTAGCTTAATAATAATACCGAATTTAAAAATAATGGATTTTCGCTTCTTTTGCTTTTGTCCATTCATTTGTCCTGACTAAAAAATTCCTTTTCTTCTTAATCATCCACTTTAAAATAGAACAATCAAGCAAGCAATAAGGTTACAGAGATAAACATTTTCTGAGATCTTGAATAGCCAAAGTAATTACCTTTCTCAAAGGCAACTTTTCTAAGAAAATTCGAGATGGAATTTGCTTCATAATTTCTGAGCCAAAAGCTGAAACAAAAAAAAAAAAAAATCTAAGTATTCAGTACAAAGGAAATCAACGGGTACCGACTGGTTTTTTTTTTAAAAATGTGGCACAAGTAGTCTTGATCCCTCATAATTTCTGATGGTCTCCATTATTTCAGTTTTACTTCTGATGCAATCGACTCTGAAGCAGCAGTTCTGTATTAGGAGTCCCTCAGCTAATGTCAAATGAACAACAGACTGTCTATGGGGGATTCAGTGCCAATTGATCGCATTCATCTTTTGATGAACCTTCTTCAGATCTTCTTAGGATCCTTTCATGAGGGACCCTGTACAGCAAACCAGAGAATTTAGCGCCAGTGAAATTTCATTATTAACTGATTTGATGTCTTCCACGAATTTCTTAGCACAGTGAGTTTTAAACATTAGACTTCTTATAGGCTAATTTCGAAAAAAGTAGGACTGAAAAAGAATTCTTCAGAAATTTTACATGCATAATCTTGCGGAAATATTGTAAAATTTGCTTTGTGACTGACGAATGCTTTTGTTTCCTTGCTATCTAAGAAGATGAAACAGATAAAAAGAATCCAATCCTTCGTAACAATAACGACAAGCAGCATGGTGTCTGCATAAACACACCAACAATCTCACAACTCCACAAGAAAATTGGATGCTGAAAAATTTACTATTTTTCTAGACATTAACATAAACAAAGTTTGATTTGAAAATCTCATCGCGCTCAGAGGATCCTGAAGAACATCAAATCATACAATAAAAAAAATTGCTCATGGTCGAATTTCTTGATATTCTGTACTTTTATCATCCATTGCTCATTAATTTTTTTTACCCCTTCGTATCATTTACCAATGGTAAACTACTCCAAACCACTCTAAAAATGATTTCCCAGGTTACAAGAAAACAGCAAGGGATATGAGAAAAGTAGTTTAGGTCACACCTGCAGCATCAATTACAAAATTGCTTCAAGCAATAATAGTGATAAAATAATGAAGAATTTAAAAAATTGCAAGGAATGGAGCTTGTCTCCTCTCCAACATGGGTGGGCATGAAACAAAGAATTTGCTTAAAATAATTCAATACACGTACCTGAAGACTTTCTAAAAAGTTTTCACAGTCGGTGGTATCAATATCATTCATGTTAATGCCAGACCTTTCCATTTCTGCATATGTGCCGAAGGGAAGTTTACCTAAGCACTCCAATTTCATAATGTGCATTTTGGACCTGAGATGTTTAGCTAAATGACCATGTATCCGGAAAGCGATTTTACAGTCATCACATTTGAAAGGGCGAGGATTACTTGAAGTAGCAGCCCCAAAAGTTGAATTCATGCTAACCTGTAAAATAAAACACAAATTAAGAAATGATTATTTAACTTTAAAATTTGATGATGGACTTCCATTGTTTACAAATTCTGCATGCATGTACATAGTCTGAGAGATCACTGGAGGTTGTGAGTTCAGCTTCACCGAGATGCCTGAGATTCGAAAATTTGCTACAGCATGAAAGACTACGTTGTCAACTTGCCCAATCACGAGAGGAGAACCCTACCAGGCGGCTTTCAAATATAATGATTTAAGTAGCAAACTCATAGAATCTTGGAGCCTTCCTCTCTTTTTTTTTTTTTTGACTATTAAATTTCTAAACGTCATAAAAATCAAAAGAGGGCAAATCCGAGCATAGTCCGGGAGAGAGTGTTAACCAGATTCTAAGAGATAAAGACGCCGTTGCAGCAGTACTTTTTGAAGGTTATAAACTGAAAATTTGATCAGCTATAAAATTTCTTCTAAGTCCCAAAATTGTTATAATGACAATGTTTCATCCAAGATAAGTTATTTAAAGTTGCACCATCTTTTAAACGCTACAATTATATCATGGTAATGATCTACGGCAGGATCTACAGGCAAAAGAAGAGATCTAGGAAATCTATAGCAGATAAAAACTATTTTGTGCCAATACATTTTCAAATGTACATAGAATATACAAAGACTGATAATAACTGAAAATCGGAATTACTTTGTTCGTGTGAGAGACAGACCGCTGATGTTTCTGCAAATGTCCTTTGGTTCGAAAAGAGACAGCACAAGACTCACATCGGAAAGGTCTTTCAAAATAATGAATATTTAAGTGCAGACGTAACTGACTTGGTTTGGAGAAAATTTTGTTGCAAATCACACACATGCTTCGACCATCCTCTAAAACACTGAACAGAAAAAAGGGAAAAAAATGAGAAACAGAAAAAAAGAGATGTAATTAGTGCTATTTGCAAATAAGAAAGATGTGAAATGAAATAATGCACTTCTTCATATGTATTGACCTTTAAAAAGAGCACATTATTTTCAATTTTGAAAAAGATTCTTACAAAGGACAAAGCAAACTAGGCTATTTTTTTGTTTAAATTCTTCCCTTTTGATTCTACAACAATGAAAATATGAGAGCTGGCTGATAAGTAATGCCTCCATGCTCATGACTTAAGAATAATGATAGATTGTGACAAAAACTTTAAAATTATGAAAGTAGACATAATTGCCTTCCTAATGGTTTATTGGTGGTGGTTTTTGCAAAAAATGAACAATTTTTGCTGTTACAGCTTTGTAAAATGTTCGACATGCTTGATTAATTTTAATAGAAAATAACTGTGACTTCAGTTCATCTGATACATTCGAATGATTCAATGAAAAAATCGACTTCACAGACTCATTATTCTTCTAGTTCCTCCCTTTAGTAACAAAATTACTCCAAAAAAATAGACAAAAATGGATAATTGAAATATAGTTACCTCACATAATTGGAGGACGGTCCACAGCTTGGAGGTTTGAACTCAGCCTTTAATTTTTTAGGCATTATTAATTTGCTAGGGGATGAAACGCTAGGCATTTCTGAGGACTTTTTAGCCTCTGAAGTTGTATGAGCCAAAATATCTAGCGCATTCTCTTTAGCTACTGAATTAACTGTTTTCACAGAATCAAGAGCTTTTTCATAGACAGAGGAAACACTTTCGAAAATTTTTTGTTGCAAGTTACGCGGCTCATTCATGAATTTTCCATTATTCTCCATTAATGAGTCAGACTTAAGTATTGAGTCTAATATTGCACTCTTTTTCTCCTCCCTAGAACTGGTTAATTCAATATTGAATCCAGTCTGAGACTCAAGTTTACTATCTTTTTCTAAAGTTGGAGCGTAGAGCTTCCCTTTGTTTGAAATTTTGCTGTTGAGAGCTGTTTGGTATTGCATTTGTTTCATTCTGAGATCTTGCATAGCTTTTTCTTTCAGATAAACTTGTAACATGGCTGCCTCCTCAGCAGGATCTACAGTGTTTGTTACAGGTAATCGCTCCATTGATGAGCACAGGGTGGCTAGAAGTAAAGCTGGCTCTGAGACTGTAGTTAGGATATCTGCTGGAAGAGGGGAATGCGTTGAAATGCTCAGTCGTGATGGGAGACTACTCGTGGATAATTTTCTTAGGTTATTGTTATTATTACCTGAAAAAGAAATCAGAAAAACATTAAACAATTTTACAGAAGAGCAAATGGAATTGATAGACGTAAAGATATAGGAATTTAAAAAATTTAAAAGACAACTGCATACTGCAAGACATAAATTTTGAAAAGATGGCAATAACGGTAAGCAAGAACTACAAGGTTCAGGTCTATTACAAGCAAGAGATGAAACCAGGAGAATAGACAGTTATAGGGTCAAGTCCTAGAGATTGGCATGTTAAAGTCAAAACCCATAATTTGGTCAAAACTTCTTTTGATCAGATTATGGGTTTGGACTACAACAGTTACACACTTGAATTGTGAGGTTAATCTGCCTCACCTGATGGAATATTAAGACTGACTGTTTGAAAATGATGCATAAAAAATCATCTTCTTCTCATTCTCTCTCATTGATTGTTCCCTGGTTGATTATTTCCTGGTACAAGTACCAACTATATGCCTTTTACGATGGAAGATTTACAGGTGTCTGAAATTTCATGACTTTCATGTTTAAGATGAAAGAAGAGAGCTCAGGACAAATATATCCGTTGCCTACTAGAATAGAGAGGCCGTAACTACGATTCTGTGACGTCACGCTAGTAGATGAAACTCGCCTGCGATTTAACATGTGTTCTTATGGGAGAACACATGACACATGATCCTTTTAGGCTAATATCTTTTCAGGGGTTCATCTGATGCAAAAATTCATAAGAACCATTTTGAAAGAAGATAAAATTTCACATCAGAATACTGCCTTGTTCATAAATTACATTGTCTGATAATTGAGGAAAGAAAAGCTAAACATGACTAAATACCGAAAATGGTTACCCCTCTAAGATTCAAACGCGCCGCTCATACAACTTCGGCCGATCGACGGCGGCTCCGATTGGTTAACAAGGCGATTACTCTACTAGTTTGACGTCACGAAACCGAGTAGTTACGGCCTCTCCATTCTCGTAGGCAACGATATATCCTTAGTTTCTAAATTGAACAATTATTGGAGAATGGCCTGATCTGCTTATTACTTATGTTTAAAAGATGAGAAGTGCCACCAGATGACATCGGAAGGCAGTATATTTTCTCACTTTTCAATCTATTTTCCTAAAATTTCCCATATTACAAAAATATTATGAAAAATACCACAAACTCAACTTAATAAACACTCTCAAATGAAAAATGGAAATTTTTTTGTGCAAATTCTTCATTTCTCATAATGTTCATTGTATCGTGGTAATTTATACAGGAAAAAAAATAGAGAAAAAAGTTTTACTAATTAACTGAGTTCACTCACTTTTACTTCTACTGAGATCAATAGGGCCACTAATAGTTGTGACAGCCATCTCTTCATCTTGACTAGAATCTTCTTCCATCGATAAATCAGCAGTATCTCGGATGGATGGGAAATAGTAGTGCGATGTTTTATTGCAAGCAGCAAGTCCTACATCATCCGACCTCCCACAATCAACTACTGGATTGGAGGGCTGTAATTCTCTTGCTAATCCTGTGTTTTGTGAAACCTGAGAGCAAAATAAACACATGAAAAGAAACAATCTATGTTAAAAAAAATAAATAAATAAATAAATAAAATAAATAGAGAAATACTTGACAAAGGACCACTGGACAAGGGTACGAAAAGCATTATGAAAACAACCAGGAAAGTTTGGTAATGTCATTTAAGAAGCAGTCTCATGAGGTAAAATAAATAGGGCTCTTTGCTCATTTCATGACATCACCATTATTTTTTCCTTTTTAATTTGGATAAATTATTTTTACTACCGACTTAACTCAATTCCTTCTTTTGATGTTTGTAGAAATGGCAAGAGAAAAACCTTCCTCGTAAGTGGTTCTAGTTCTGCTCAATGTACACAAATAAAATAAGTGGGCTGAAAGGCAGTGAAAGGTCTATCTTTCAGGAAATAGAAAATTATCGAGTTAACAGCAATCGAAAATAAATAAATTAAAGTAGTAAAGTGATGGCAAAATATATACATTAAAAAATGTTACTTACTTTTTCATGCTCCCGATGAGCGCTGATGGATGTTAAAGTGGGTGTACAAGCTTCTGAAACTGGCCTTGGTGGAAGACAGAAATTATAAGGGTACGTGAAAGGTCGATTTGATGGATTTAACAATCCAGCGAGAACGTGTTTGCTTTGAACAGCCGCTTGGATTGTCACCTCTGACAGGCTCAGTAATGAGGACACAGCCTCTCGTTCTAACTTATTTTTGTTGTCTGAAAAATAATTTTAAAAAATTACTTAAAAGAAATTCATTTTATAGAAAGGAAAGAGTTTAAATCTAGTGACTGTTCATTTCAATCTACCCACTGGTCTAAATTACCTAAAACTGAAAATTGGGAAAAATTGATTGTTAAATGCAATAAGTCTGTTGTTTGCAGTAGATGCAACCAACTGAGATGACTTTCTACAGGTAAAGATCTATGAGAATGTTTTCAATAGCATAGTAAATGTCTAAAATATAGTCTGAAACACAATTTGAGAGGGTGGCATGTATTATCAAATTCACTGTGTCTGCAGGAAGATTTCAATCAGTCAGCGGCAATCAAGTTTACCCTGAGAGAGATTCCAGGTGATCTAACCTGAATGAATAAACTATTTTGCAGACTGTTTAATTGTTGATCAGTCTTTCACATGTATGATTCAAATCATTACAAAAGATCTGTTTTCTCCTGTTTTCCTAAAATAAGAAAGACAAAACGATTGAAACCACATCAGGGTGGATGACAGTTGCCGGGCAAGTTTCTTCCTTTGGGTTAGAAGTTTCTTCAGGTGGATACTAAATTGCCACAGACTATGAGAACTGTAATTGTCAATGTGGCAAATTTGAAAATGCTGATACAAACAGTGCAAATTATGCATTTCGGTGTGTATTTCAGAAAATTGTATTGTTCTCAATGTTATTTCAGTGCAATGTTCCCCCAAAAAAGTGTTTTTTGACGACAGCAGCTTTGGTATACAATAGATCTATTGAACAATTTTATTGCTCCTTTTTAAATCATTGTTTGTTGTGAATTGTATTACAACTAGCAACGGGTGATTTACTTAGATAAAAAAAAATCATTTATTGATCAAGCCATTTTGTCTTCTATCATATTGACCAAGAACTTTAACTGTTAAACCTTACTTTAAAAAGCAAGTATTTAAAAGAAATTAATTGAAAAGCACCCTTAATTCAGAATTTACAATGCAACATGTATTGATGCTCACCACTGTTCATTATATCCTCATCATCAAACTCATCTTCATCATCATCCTCTTCGTCAAGATCTTCATCTGAATCTTCTTCTGATTCTTCGTTGTCTCCACTTTGCATTCCCAGTAGTTCTTGCTGAAACGTGAAAAAATCAGGTTAGCGTACAAAAAACAAAAGTTCCCTGATAATGATAGAAATTATCCTCAAATGATAATTACTGTTTTGATATAGTACCATCGAAATCGGCCACTCCCCTTATTGGGTTGATGGTGTAGAATGTGACCAATTGAATGAGGTCAGTCCAGTTTATGACTGACTTTCTTATTGGTATAAGACCTATTGAATATTCCATATCCGCTTTGACAAAAAGACTAATATCATCACAGACTTGTGTTGACTTTTACGAGTGATTCTTTATGAAGGGAAAATTGTTTTCTTCATTCCAATGCCATATCACAATTCTAAAAGCTTTCTTTTGCACTTGGAAACAGTTTCAAATGATTTTTCACCCTCTTTATATTTTGATTTCTAAAATTAAGAGAGTCTACATCTCATTAGAAGAACATTGAAAGCTGTGAGGATATTTTTTGTGAGGTGACGCTTGACGTCATGCCCAAGGTAGCCCTACTTTCATACACCACAATGACTGACCTCTGTTGTTAGAGACAAACTCTTAATAGAGAGGTGAAAAATTGAAAGGGGCGGGGAAGGAGAATAAATCTATTGGCGAACCTGTTTAGCCAGAAGTTCTTGGTCAATGTTCGATTCATCCACAGCTGTTGGAACAGGGCTTATTCCTAATTCAACGCATTTTTTATAATGCGCTTTCGACTTCATATGTTTTGTTAAGTTACCTTTAGTTTTGAAACTGAAAAACAAAAAAAAACCAGCACCACATGAATTGAAATTCAATGAGAATTAAACTAGGAGTAAAAAAGCATTAACGTAAAAATATGTTGACATTTAAAACGAAACATCTTGTTCTTAAAGAGTATCTACGATGATGTTAAATTTCATGTGACTTCAATATGTAGGAAAGCCTACGTTAGAAATGTGCTAGATAAAAAATTACAAAAGAGAAATATTACATCAGAAATATTAACATTATAGAACACTGAAGAGGGAGGATATTCCTAACACACCTGAAAGCACAATGCTTGCATGTATACGGCCGGGTATCTGTATGCGTCCTTATGTGTTTCTTCAACATGGATGGTTTTTTACACCTTATGCCACATTCCTCACAAACATATGGACCTCGCCCTGAAAACATCAAAAAAAAAAATAAAAAAAAGTTCAGATAAAAATTGTAGCAATGGAAGATTTGCAATGAATTAGAGCTGAGCAAAAGTGGGTGAAACTATCAGAGGAGGTATGAAGCTACATGTTATCTCTGTCATGAAAATGTATTTGATACTTTCAATAATCCATTACTAATGAGAAGTGATCCATTGATGAAAACTTAAATTAACAAGGGAATATAAAGCTGTAAGAATTTTATCCCTCTGAGAGATATCAAAAGAAAGGGTGCAATCTACTCTGATCATTCTACTGATCATTTCAAGACAATAACTTAATGGAAAAAACCTCACCTCCCTCCCCTTCACAAACACTTAAAAAAAGACGTCTTTACTGACTAAAATTGATCAGGGAGTAAACAAACCTCTTCCTCGAATATAAATGTAGTCTACGCTTGACTCATATACTCCTTTTGTCTTTTTGCTCTTATCATCCTTGACTGATTCCTGAAAACAAGAGAAGTACTAAAATTAATGTGCAGTTTAGGAGAGGATTTGCCAACGGCTGAATTTTCCTATTTTTTCTAATAATGTTCTTCATGGTATTATAAACGTAATAACACGTTAATCCAAGAAATGAATATGTGCCAATTTCAAGAGAACCAGAGCTAAAAAGTTAATTTTCAATGCTTCAATACACACTGTAGTCAAATGAAGACGGTTACACTTTTCATTCAACTTTTCTACCGCTTTTTTCCGATAAAACGTTGGATCATTTGATACTGACGAGAAAAAAAAGGAAAATCTGATAAAAAGTTGAATGAAAACTTGAATCTAATGTCCCCTTCAACTTGCTTTCCAATTTTTCGAGCAAAACAGTGAGACAAAATCTTCCTGCCTACATTACAGAAACTCTATTTTTATAAACCGAAAACTGATGGCTGATGATGGTGTCATGACGGTATCACACAGCAATGGTAATTACACCAATTTTTTTTGCGTCTAACTTTCCATTCAAATTTTCGTCCGATGAAAAGTGTGACTGTCTGAGTTGGGCTTTTCTAGTAAAAGTACAACAAGGGGTTACTTACATTTGCCTCGCTTTCTTTAGATTTTGATTGACTGAGCCAATAAGATGAATGTGTCACAACATCTTCACATTTGGTACGAGCAACAGTGTATGATGACTGTCGATGACGAGAGTCATAAAAGGACATAGCTTTCCCAGGATTTAGACCAAATGGATTTGGGCCGGCTTCAGAGCAAACCTGAAAATTAAAGTGAAAGACGTGGAGATTAGATATCATAACTCTGGAGTTCATTTCTAGTACCTACATTTAAATAAAATTTTGACCCTTTTAGGTATTCAAATTTGTCTGTATTTATACAAATAAAAATATAATGGATTAGACGTTCTGGTTTAAAGCTGATGATGTATTTGAAGAGAGTATTTAGTCTGCCCCCCTTTTTTTAACTCTAATTTTTGAGAGGATGTTGAACGATGGATGCTCGCAGCAAAATTTGACAGACTGAAAAAAGATCATGGTGAATGTGATTGAAAGACTTCAAGAAAAGAAAAAAAAACAACAAAAAATAAAACTGATTGATAATTAACTTACTTTCCAATTCGAATACATGGATAGTGTGCTGAGAGGGACATATATTGGTTGAGGCTTGTTCAGTGTGCAGAAGAAAGTGCGTGTGGAACATTTCAGACCCAAATAAGTGTATGCATTGCCATTTAAATACAACTGCCCGTACGATTTGCTTGGTCGTGGTGTCTCAGGACTGACTAAAGGTAATACTGTGCTGCCAAGGGGAGTTGACTTCTTCAAAGCAAAAGTTCCTGGTTTCAAAGGCAATGATGTCGGCCTCAAGAACTGCTTTTGAGTATTTGACGAATCTTCAGTTGAGCTAGAGGTTGTATTTTCCAAGGGTTCAGGAGTCCCTCTTACCTGCAAAAAAGGATATGACAAAATTTAGAATAAATTTCCATTATAACAGCAAAAAAGAAAACTAGGAAAATCAACAGGACCACTCAATTCTCATAGAAAGTTTCACAATATAGTACTTGATTTCTTTTTAATAAGTACTTATTATTAAAAAAATAATTTAAAAAAATAAAAAAAAAATTTGAAGTCAAGGGTGACAGAGAGACTCAGTGCATTTAAGATATGGTACCTTGAGCAACAAGAGCTTGTTCCAGTTTTTTGCACACCTAGACACCCGTGAGGGATTAGCATTTCAATGTTTGCATGAAGTATGCCATTTGTAAAATTAAACTCACGTTTCAAAAATTATTGAGAATCTTCCAATTATTCTTGCACATATGTATGTATGGGGGTAGGAATTCATGAATTCGTAAGTTACAAAGAAACGCGTGATATTGGCACTGTACTTACATTCATTTTCACTGACTAGGAGGGTGAGGGTTTTACTTAATCTTCAGATCATTTTACAAAAGATTAAGAAATTATGATATTTGCAAGGCTTAGTGGTCAAAATTTTATGTTCACGAAGTGACTTACAATCAAATAAACCATTACTTAAACATGCTGAGTTACAGTTGGCCATTTATACATGCAAAATAATTTCTATTTTTACAGGGTTTTCATTGCAGAGAAATAATCTTTTTGGGGGCATAAATGTGCCAGCTTACTCAGAAGTCAAGAAAATTGATAGAGACCAGGTAAACTTCGCTGATAAAGTATGCATCTTGATTAAAAATGTAAAATATGGTTTTGCTTACCTTGCTTGAGTTGGAAAGGATGCCTGATGGAGGACTAGGGCTTGACACACTCAGTCTTGGTTTCTTAGCTTTATTTTCTAATATTATATCATCAGAGCTTTCGACCCTCAGTAGAGGGACTCGTTTAGAAATGGAGACAGTTGTGACTTCTGTTACTTGTGTGACTTCTAAATCCGATTCAAAATCTCTACCAGCTGAGCGTTTTGAGGATAATGATGATTCGACTTCCTTTTCACCCGTTTTGCTCAACATCCTTTCTGCCAAGTTCAAAGGCTTTGACTCCACAACTGAAAAAGAGTGCGGACCAGGCATTCCAGGAACAAAGGGGATGGACTTTCCACCGTGAAGAATGGTGACTAGGCCACCATTGTATGCAGCAAAGTTAGGCTTGCCCTCCTGAGGGGTGGCAATGGCAGCCCTTTTCTGCAAAAGTGAATTGATGGGCAGCGTCAGTGGGTTGAAAGCTGTGATCGTAGTTAAAGGATTGAGAAGAGGGGAGGGAGGAAGAACTGATGAAATGGAAGCGGGGATGGCGCTACTTTGAGTGAGATCTTGAGTGAGGATTTTGGGAATGATCGGTATGACAAGACGATCTAGATGCGGTTGCGCTCCTCTGAAGTCTTGGCCGAGGGAATTTTTTTGAGCAGGTTCATAGGATGGTGATTTAGCACGACTAATGTTGCTACTACTACTTAATGATAATCCATCAGTAATCATCAATCCTGGAAGTGATCCACTTGGATGAGCGCCTAGTTTAGCAGGACTCACAGACGATGGTAAGAATTCTGCATTTTCTTTAGATGTGTTCGACCTTTTAAAACTAGGTACTACTGCTGCCACAAATTTTTCAGAGTCAAAATATTTCTCCATAGCTCCGCGATTCGTCACTTCTACTTTTGAAACTTGCACCTCGCTGTCATCATTCGTGTGACTTTCATTATTAAATGCTTGCATGGAATTAGGTCTCATTGGGCTTTTACACAACTCCTCCAAAGATTTCAAAGTAGTAGTGGTACTCTTTTTATTCAACAAAGATGGCACAGATATCTCTTTCGCCGGTAATGATGGAAATACGTTTACTTTCGCTGTTTCAGGATGATAAGAATTGACTAGAGGTGTTTTTCCGAGGAGAGGCCCTGGAGAGGGTTGGGAAAGAGATGTTAACGAGGTCGCAGACCCTAAAGAACTCCCGTTACTTATTCTGCTTTCTACATGATTTGTTTCTTTATATGGATTTGGACTAAGTCGCAACGTACTTCCGTTTTTCTTACAGTAGTATAAATTATGAATTTCTAAATCATCGGCGCTGCGGTACGCAACCTTGCAGAACGAACAAGCAAATTGCTGGGAGTGTAGCGAGGAAAATTTGTTACTTCCACTGGTAATGCTGTCGGTGCTGCTGGGTGCATTTTTAGGATTGATAAATGCCATATCCCCTTTCTCTTGTGAAGAATTGGTAGCCTTAAAGACTGACGTTGGCGTTCCTCTGGCTTTTAAAAGAATATCCTTAATGCTGGAGCTTTCCACCTGAGAACTTTGATGGGCAGGAGCTGAAGAGTTGATATGATTTAGAGGCGACTTTCTAACTTTCTCACTTTGGTCCACAGTTAAATTGGTCGCTTCAGGTTTCGCTTCGGAAACGTGTTTCGCGTATACGGGCACACAATTATTCACCGTCAAATTCAAAGGTTGGGCCGAGTCCGCGCCGTGGGTCTCGGGGGCTTTGGAGGAAGTTGCGTTGGGTCGCAAGAGCGCAAGCGCCAGCTTCGATTCGGTCACTTGCTTTGGCACAGGTTTCATTTTCTTGGACTCGGGGGCGTGGTCCGCACCGGAGGAGCGGTTGAAGAAAGTTTTCGACCAGGACTCGGGTCCGGGGGAAGACGAAGAGGAAGACAGGGAGCTGGCCGAGGAATCCTTCGAGTCTTTGGAGACGGAGCGCTGCATGTACTTCTTGGGCCAGAACGGGTCCATCGTCTCGACGATGGCCTGGTTCTCGCTGATGAGCTTGCTGATATGTCTTTGGAGGAACTCGGGGCTGGGCGAGGACGCCGAGGACAAGGAGACGAGCGCGAGGCCGGGGCTAGGGCTCTCGGCCAGCTGCGGGCTTGAGGGGATGCTCAGCGCCAACGGGCTAGGAGCCGGGCCGCCTTTGGTCGGCGAGGCGGCCTCCACCACCGTGTGGAACTTGGGCTTGTAGATGGTCTTCATGGGCTCGTCCCGCTTGGACTCCGGCGAGGCGAGGCGCCCACCCGCGGCTTTGAACTTCTTGGGCGAGTCTTCGTCGTCGGTCGAGGACTCGATGTCGTCCTCGTTGAGCGGCTCCATCTGCGCCGCGTCTTGGCCGTCCTCCTCCATCTTGAGCGTGTGCGCCCGGGAGCGGCAGTGCTTGTACAGGTTGCTCTTCGTCTTGAACGCGAAGCCGCAGGGGTGGCACGGGTACGGGCGCTCGTTCGTGTGTGCTCGGATGTGTTTCTGGAGGACGCTCGGCTTGGCGCACGCTAGCTTGCAGTACGGGCAGATGTAGCGCCCGTTCTGGACGCCGGACCCCGGCCCGACGGCTACCTCTCCCGGTCCGATGGCTGCCTCTCCCGCGTCGTGCGCTTTGCTGTTTTGAGGCTCGACGGAGACGCCGAGGGTGGGTTCCGTGGACCCTGGCACGGAGCAGAGGAGGCTTTTCACCTTGAACCCGTTTACCGGGCTAGGGATGGGCGTTCTCGTGGCTCCTAGAGCCGGGGCCGGAGCTGGTGGCGAGTTCTCCTGCGGGTGAACCGTGGTGGCGATTTTCTTGAACTTCTTGTGCAGGTACTTGTCCGCCCCGAAGGCCTCCACCGTCCGCGACTCCACTATTACCGCTTCGGCGCCCATCGTACTTCTCGCTGCAGTTATTGTCGTCGAGGTCGGTGAGGATGGTATCACTGGATCCCCCTCGCTCTTCTCTGAAACAAAGAGGAGGCTCCATTAGTCCAAACAGGGATCATCTATCAAGTCACCCTGGTAAAAATTGGCGATAGGAGCTGCGTTTCAAAACACCACAGGAGTTCTTAAAGCCGACTATAGAAGGCTATTGAAAATCATATAGCTGACTGTAGAAAGCGGAGCAAATCATATAGCCGGGCTATACGAAGCTATAAAAAAGTATACAGTCGGGCTAGAGTTCCTATCGCCGGGCTTTACACTTTATATCGCCACTGGCTATAAAAGGCTATAAGAAATTGTGTAGAGATTCTATGGAAAATCATTGGAAATCATTAAGTTTGATACGGAACTACCTTGATATTTATAAAACACACATTATATTTTCCTTTAAAACATATTTTTTTTTCATCAATTAAAATGAGAATAGTCCATACAGAGTGTGCAAACATTTCAAAATCATGAGTTGAAAAACGCTGAGATTAAATATTAAAGCCTAACACAAAGCGGCGCGGCGACGCACTGGCGCCTACAGACCTAACAGGGATAATTCACGCATTGCGCAATGCGTGAAGTATCCCTGTTAGGTATGAAGGCGCCAATGCGCGTTTCGCGCTCTCTGCCCGCCCGCCGCACCGCAGCGTGCCACGGCGTCTGAAGCAACTATTTCACACCAGAGGTATTGCACAGTATCATAGGAAATTGAAGGCGCTATAACATATTATGAATGACAGGCATCCTTCAAGAGTACGGAGCTTTCCTCGCAAAATAAATCGAGATACTACGGCACAAAAAGAGAGCGGTAGTCCAAAAACTAACTAAGTCCTAGTATCCGTATTTAGTAACGTTTAGCATAAACTTGATCGTCTGGTTGTTGCTTAATCGCCATCGGCTATAAAATGCTATAAGAAATTGTACAGCCAGCTACAGAAGCTATTGAAAATCTTACAGCCGGCTTTAGGTCTATAGTATTTTGGAACACAGATTCTACTGCCAATTTTTACCAGGGCAATCAATGAAAAATTAATTCTACAGCAAATTAAAGCCACCTGAGACCGTATCGTAGTTGTTGCTTCAACGACCCCTTTCCTTAGCGAGGCAAAATACGCTTTGCATTGCAATTGAGGGAAATTCAAGGATACCTTTTATATAGCTATGTAAAAAAAGAACAATTTTTGCGAACTACGAGTGAAATTCGACAGTAAAACTTTGGAGAAAAACCTTTGCAACAGATGAAAAGATGCCAGGCTACTGTAGAAAAGAAAAGAAAAATTATTGCGGGTTTCACGAATTTGAAGATGAGTTGGTACTTACCTTATATTTGGTCTACAACGGAGTATTCTAAAGTCGCGTTATGAATTCTTTGGAGGAGAGAAACATTTTAATCCCAACTAAGAATTTATTTCTGAAGTTTAACTGTCAAATTTTTTTTTCGTAAGAATTGTCCTTTTTTATGATGCTATGTTACAGGTCTCTTTCAACTACCCTTTAATACAGAATAAACCGTGCCTCTCTAAGGAAAAAGCCTGTCTGAAGAATTATGCATACAGCCTCATGAATGATTCACCCTTTGTCTATCCATTATCCATACAACAATTATATACGATCAAATCATCGATACAATTATTTATGATCGGGCAAGAAAAGGGCTCTAATGCTTATACACCAACGATGTAATAATTATCCAAACTTACCACAGCTTCTTTTTTTTCTTTTCTTTTTCAAAGGGAGAGAAAAAAAGGAGTTACTTTGAGCGTATACTCCCTCCATTTTTTTTAAGAAAATGAAAAAATAGATAAAATTTTGTACGTCTGATGCTAGACGACAACGAGGAAGAGTTGGAGACAGGAGGGTTCAACAACAATAAAATGTGAAGTAAAAATAGAACCAACCTGGTGTTTTAAAGATAGCTTTTTCTTCTGAATAGTTTCCTGCATCTGCTATTCGTACTTCTGAAACAAAAACAATTGAATTGTTCATTAAATAGATGACGATACAAAAGTGCAAATAGCTGTCTGCTATGATACATTGTTTCCAGAAAATGTAAAATGGTGTTTACGGCGTTTTTGCGTTGCACCTCTTCTTTCTTTCGGAAAAGTGCCCCATGATTGCGTTGATTTCTTAAAAAAATTACCAGCAAGATACGGAAACGAAATCTGCGTCTTGCCAATACTTGCGCGTGCACTGAAATCTTTCCAGGTTTCTGAGAAAATGATGCGCGTTCCTATGTCGGGTTCGTTTTCCTCCCACCGTGGATATTTCCAAGAGGAAAACAAAAAAGTAAACATACTTAAAAATCCGCCCTCGCGAAACAAAGGTGCGCTCTGCTCCGACAGGATTCGTCCGAATCGATTATGTGTCCGCCGCAGTTCGGGAGTGACCGTCAAACCTTCGTCCAAAAAAATCGCCGATATAGCTCCCACGCAGTAGGGATGTTCGATTACGCGAGTAATCGATCGATCGCAATCGGTATACCGCCCCTTCTTGACACTCGATTGCCTCGATTAATCGAAATTTACTAATCGATGAATTGATTCAAGAGGGACTGGATGCGAAAAGGGCACTTCTCGATTGCGGTGTTTCAGAATCTCTGTTGCTAATTAATCCCTTGGAGAAGAACTTATTGGGTGATTATTTGAGATTTTTTTCCATGAAAAATTGTATAATCGTAGGAAAAATTCAGTGAAATTTGTAGTGAGATAGATGCATTCTCTTTCCTTACAACAAATGAAATATTTCACTGCAACCGAGAGGGGCCCTTTTCGCATCCAGTGCCTCTAATAATCAATTCTTCGATTAGTAAATTTCGATTATAATCATTGGTGGCCATTGGTACACCAAGTCGTCGTTCCTCTCACAAAAGAACGTATCTGCTTTTCGACGTTGCCGAATTTCCCTTCAAAAATCGCAATTTCAAGTGTAGAGTATAGGAGATCTCAGACTGAAAATGTTGCCGATTTTTCATCTGAATTCGTCCAAAATCTGACAAATTTTGAAAAAAATTACACGAGTACTTTCTTGAAAAAAAAAAAAAATTGGATAGTTTGAGTCAATTTTGCAACTTTGGGATTGAGTTACGTTCTTTCGTCCGGGAAATCACGAAATGAGCAATCAAAAGTGTAGTTTAAGGGTCGTTCATAAACTAAGTAACACTCTGGGAGACGGAGGTGGGTCGGAGAGAGCGTTATGCTAATCTGTTTTTACGTGTTACCATGATCTACGCCCCGAGAGCATAAGGGGAAGAGAGCGGGCCGAAAATGCTGAAAAAGAGCGATACGAAATTTATGAGCTTCCCTTTAACTTAGTTATGGCCCGGATTTGTTAAACATTTTGTTCAAAAAGTTCGGTTAGTTTCAATTAGTTTTTACGATTAATCGCGTAATCGATAACCGAGACGGCCCAGCCACGTTGAAACAGTTGTTCATACCGCGTACAGGCAACACAGCGGAAATCTCCGAGCGGAATCGTTCGCACAGCTGCCAGGATGCCTCGCGCTTTTTCCCTTCCAAAGTTTAATTGCATCGACTAAGATTCTGAGAAAATCCATGAGAAATGTAAAAATGACCCGAATAAGAAGTATGTTGATACGAAAGGATACCTCAGGACCTGTAATTTAAGTGAGAGCGGGCCTCTGGGGGTTTTACATACTTTGAGGTTGGCTCTTACTCATTGAGATTTGACACCACAGCCATGACTCATGTTCCACACTGACTGGGGCGCCGAATTTAATCGCGGAAAACGGGCGTGCCTAATTTGTCGTTTCCCTACGAAAGAACGTAACCTCATTCAAATGTTGCCAAATTTCTCCTCGCAAATTGCATATCATCTAGGAGAATCTTGGACACTCCCAACTAAAAATTTCACTGATTTTTCCTTAGATTTCATGCAAAAATCGGAACAAATTTTGATACGAATAGCACAGGTATAACTTGGTGAAATAAATTAATTGTTTGCGTCAATTTGGCAACCATAGAATGGAATTACGTTCCTTCGTAAGAGAGGTGACGAATTATACTTTTAGGATGAGTGGCAACTGTACTCAAGTCAATTCTACGGCTTCAGATTGGCGGCGCAGATTGGCGGATATTGCATTTCCATGCAAAAAAATCGACAAATTCGGCTCCTAATTTATGGTATTCACGTCTACGTTACCAGTCAAGATTACGCGAATAGATCGTTTATACTGACTATTTTCTGCCTTTTGTGACCTGATGAAATCTACTGACTAAGTCTAGAGTCCCTTTATAGAGAGAGTCGAAACAACGCGACTTGTGGATGTGACAAACGGGAATAAATATTACACAAATCGGATGCTTGCTGTAATCTTTGATCAACCCATTTCCGAATTCCTATCTACGTTCCCACTCTCATTTCATTTGTTCCTTGCCGTACCTCCTGTTCCCCGGTCCGTTCCAGTTTATAATCTTTGCAATTGGTGAAACCGTGATCTTTATTCCCGTTGTAACACTGTGAAGGCCTGAAATACGGGAACCAATCAGAGATGGATTCGCATTGTCTTTGCTCTCAGTATAAAGGGACACTAACCAAGTCCGCTTTTCTTGATTGGTATACGCCCTAGAGTACCTTTATAGACAGAGTATGGCCATTCGTATCTTTTTACTACAGGAAAACTGTTCCGCTTTTTGATTGGTCAACGAGTTTTTAGGCTTCATGATGCTCTTAGGGCCGTAAATAAACAAACAAGATGGCGACTCACCGTAACATCGATAAGAAGCTAAAATTTGACAAAAATTTCAATTATGCGGCAGTAACAATTTAAACGAGCATATCTGCGAATAGCACACGAAAAACACATGAAAACATTGTTAAATCGCCTTTCACCTTTATTACAGGAGGATGTAAGATGTGCATAACCTCAATCTTGCTTGCTGATAACAGCCATCTTGTTTGTTTATTTACGGCCCTAAGAGCATCGTGCCAGCCTATTTTCACGCGACCAATGAAAAACCGGAACAGAAATGGCCATACTCTGCCTATAAAGGTACTCTAATACACCCTGTAGACGAACTGACTCGGTGAGAATTGCGTTAGGATATGATTTGGCGCCCGGGCCAACCTGTCGCGCGTCAGACACAAGCGTGAATACGATAGCTCGAGGGGGTGGTTGGGGGGAGGGGGAAAGGGCACTGCGGAATCGCGTAGGAAGCGACCGAGCTGCGCCGCCAACCCCCACGTCCCCACGTCCCGACGTCCGACCCCGACAAATTTTTGGCAGTTGGGAGTTCGGGACTCGCAGGGAGCGAGAGAGGAGTAGGAGTACACGAAGGGCCCGCTAGGAGAGGAGAGCAAATTTTTTACCATACGAGTACAAGAGCAATGGACCATTAGGATTATTATTTAGAATTAAAAACACATCTTCGAGAGAAGAGCGCTCGCAAGGGCATTTAATTTAAATCCCTGAAGAAATCTACGCGGCGAAGTTTGGTTTCTACTACTGAGGTGAGACGATACGGTTCACAAGGTATCTGTACAGACTAGATGGTAAAAAATTTCCCGCATATTGGATGCTTAAAAATAGGAATTTGGGAGCGAATTATTCACGGTATATGCACGAAGACTAATTTTACTTGAAATCATTAATATCCCAGTTCTGTTCAAAAATTGCACTTGCGCGCCTTATCCTCCAAGCCCCTCCAACTCTTAAAATTGGGTGATAAAAATTAATTCATTACTAAAATTGAAAAAGAAGGATGAACTTCATGAGAAACGCTATAAACTGCTCGAAGTCAAGCATGACTTTACCTCCGGACAGTTTGGCGCGATGGAAAAATTAAAATTAAATGACCCAAAACAGAGAAGCAGGCTCAGCAGGTTCAGCAAAGGGATGGACGGGGTACGGTAGGAAGGACAACCGATCAAGATGGAGGAGAAGGAAGAAGCTTGAATGAGAGTGATGGGGGNNNGGGGGGGCGATCCTCGGGTTAGTGAGGCGGTGATTGTGGTTGTCATGGTAACCGTTGCAGCTCTGACAAAAGCTATTTCTTAGTCATCTGGGCCGGCGGGGGCGGAGAGGGTGACAAAGTTGGAAACAGCGGGCTCCGGAACCTACCGCCTACCGCCTACCGCCTATCCGCATCGGCGCGGTGGCGTGACGAAGACAGGCGCAGCGGCGCGATGAACTTTCAAGCCGAAAGTGCACCGAAAAACACCCGATTCACGAGACATGGAAAAATAAGTAGAAAAATGGAAAAAAACAAGAAGTAGATGAATGTGGAATTGAAAGCTATCTTGAAAAGACGTAGACGAATCGTTATGAAAGAAAAGTCTTCAGAGTTCTACATTCGCGCCTTCAACAATGATCATGTCGAGTTCCAGGGTGTCTACTGAAACCGACTGACAAGACATCAGTAAGTAGACACACTCTCGGTGTTTTACCAAAAAAATTCAGTAACTCCTCGACAGAGGAAATCACTGGATTTTTAGTATCTTTGTGCGAAAAAAGTTACCGCTACAAATCTTGAGATTCCACGATCAAACCAAGATCCCCGAGAATTATAATTAAGTGTCCTTCCATAAAAATGAGTAAATTTATGCAAAAACTGATTGTGCGTCAAAATACGTGCGTAACAAACGCAGAATCGTAACAACTGTAACAATACATCACTCTGGGATTTGGAATTGTCAGGTTGTCTGCCTTTTTGGCCCATAAGAGCTCCATGACTTAACCTCAAAATTACCGACATGTCCGTACTTTCTCCATGTTATACTGCCGTACTAAGACAGAGCGCCGTATGAACCGCCAGGTGTCGCCAAATTACTTCCTAAAAATTGCGAATTTTCAAGGAATCTATTCGATATGTTTATTCAAAATTTTCGGTCAATTTTTTACGGGATTAAATCTGTAGTATCTGAAAATTTTAAGGAACAATATGCATGAATTACCTCAAAAATACCTGTTATATTCGGGGAAAGTTGGCAACTCTCGAATGTT